CGGGACCCCCCCCCCCTTGGCCCCCAACTCACACGATCACCCGGCTGAGCATCCAGGACACCATGATGCCAGTGGGCCTGCAACCCCGGGCCGTGCCGGGCAGCCCCGGGTGGGTGGTTTCGTGCTGTCGTGTGGGGGGTGTGTCCCCCGGATCCCCCCAAAAACCGCCCGGACCCCCCCGCACCCCTGGCGGGGGCGGCAGGAAACGAATGGAACAACTTGAATGGTGCAGCCGGCGGCTCTGCGCATGCGCCCGCGCGGCCCCAGCGGATCCCACCAACCGTCCGGCCGCTCTTAAAAGGGGAGCGGCGGGTCTTAAAAGGGCAACGGCGGGTCTTAAAAGGGCAATGACTGTTCTTAAAAGGGCAACGGCGGGTCTTAAAAGGGCAACGGCGGGTCTTAAAAGGGCAACGGCGGCTCTTAAAAGGGTCACGCCACACAAGGGTCGTGGTGGGTCCGGAACTTTTTTTTTTTTGCCCCTGCCCACCAAAATAGTTGTTTTTGAAGCAGCAAGGAAAGAGAGGGAAAGACCCTTCGCGTCACGCTGCGGATCTTCTCTTTGGTTTTGGAGGGGGTGTTTTTGTGGTGCTCAGGTGGGGTATGTGCGCAGCGTGGGGAACGCGGAGTACCCCACCGCAATATTGGGGTGCGAGAGGGCAGGGAGGGCAGGGCTGCAGGAGCTGGGGGTTTGGGTGGAGGTGAGAGCACCGCTGGGTCATGCCAAGGCAGTCAGATATGTTGGCACCACCCTGACGTGTTGATTCAGCAGAGTTTAGCCTCAGCCGCTGCAAAATCCCCTCCCCGGCACGCCTCACCTGGGTTTACATGTGTGCTTAACTTCAAGCACCCGCTCAGGCGTGTTGCTGAACAAAGGCCAGGGCTCTGTGGCAGGCGTGGATCCCTGCAAGATGTTCGGGATAAAATAGAAGCTGCTTCCTCTTCCCAGAACAAGAGCAGGGCTCAGAGTCCTCTCCGGTGGACCTGGCATCGCCTCCCTGGGCCACCTTCCCCTTGGCCATGCATGCCCAGCAGTGGTCCAGGGCACCCCGGCTCCCCCATCCCAGTCACGGCCGTTGTCAGGGTGCCAGCACCCCTCTGCAGCTCCTCCCTGTGCTCCCCACCTGCCTTTAAAATCTGCCCTTTCCTGGTGGGGAAACCGAGGCACAGAAGTGTGGCAATGCCACCGCTGCGGCACCAGTTAGGGCTAGGCTCCAAGGCTGGGCGCTCTGCCCTGCCTTGCACCCAGGGCACGTCTGGATCCGGCTGCGGGGGCTGCACCGGGGAAGGGACCAGCTTCAGGCCCTGCAGACACCAAGGTCAAACCCGGCTCCCAAAAGCCGGCTGTGCCCTGGGGTGCCTGTTACCTTTGAGAGGATCTTTATTTGTGAGCTTAATTGGTGGTTTTTCACATATGTATTTATATACCTGGGGGACAGGGAAATGCTCCCCTGGAAAACCAGCCGGACGGCTGCGTGGATGCTGGTGCAGCTCAGGGCACAGCAGGCTCCAGCTGGGACTCCCCTCCCTAGGGAAACACCTCTTGCTTCCCTCCCTGCCTCACCACGAGACGAGGCATCTGCAGCAAAAAAGACCAGGCAAGCCATGTGTGGGGCCTGGAAGACCCTAAAATAAGGGGTTCTCCCTTCCTGAGCTCACTGGGGCTTGTGCAAGGAAAGGGGTGCTGCGGGATGCTGGCTGGAGCGGGACCCCCGGGCAGGGGACACCAGCCACAGCTGGACGGACAGCAGCTGCGGGCAGACACAAGCAGGGCCGGGAGTCACAGTGTGTTTATTGTGGGGAGCGTTTTGGCGGGCACGTACACCTCGGGTATGGCTGGCACGCTGGGTCCTGCCCGGCAGCGGGGCTGGAGGGGGCTGTGGGCAGAGGGAACTGGTGGACATGCACGGAGGGGGACGGGAACAGGCCAGCCTTGCTTCTGCGGGTGGTGGCACGACCTCGGCAGCATCCAGCCATCCTGGAGCATCCCATTGGCCTCAAGCATCCCATCCGCATCCACCTCGGAGCATCCCGCTGGCCTTGAGCATCCCATCCGCATCCGCCTCAGAGCATCCTGCTGGCCTCGAGCATCCCATCCGCATCCGCCTCAGAGCATCCTGCTGGCCTCGAGCATCCCACCCGCATCCACCTTGGAGCATCCCGCTGGCCTCGGAGCATCCCATCCCGCTCGAGCATCCCACCCACCTCAGACACCCCATCCACTTTGGATCATCCCATCAGCCTGGGAGCACCCCAGTGTCCTAGGAGCATCCCACCTAGCCCTGGCAACCTGGCCCTGCCTGTGCACATCCCTGCCGGCCGCCCCGTTCCCATACCCCCAGACGCCCCTGCCGCAAGCCTCCAGCCCACTGCCTGAGCGGGCAGAGGCACCCATACCCCCCCACATCCCTCCCAGCCAGCATCGCAAAGCAGGCACCCGAGGGCATCGGCTTGCAGGGCAAGGGGTGTCCCTCCCTCCTGCCCGCATCCCTTGGGCTGCTGGAAGGGCAGCTGTGGGTGCTGCCCATGGGGAAACCAGGAGTACCAGGGGGAAACCAAGGCCCGTGGCTTCCCCTGGCAGCAGGGGCCACGGGGCTGGGCACTGCCCCGGGGGCAATTCGAGGAGTAGATGAACATGGGGGACCGGGAAGGGGGCTGGCAGGGGGCTGTGACCACGGGGCAGAGATGGCTGCAGGCAGGAGGAAGGGGCTGGCGGGCGCATGCGTGTCCTCGGGCAGGAGCAGGCAGCTCTCCGGGGAGGAGAGAGCCGCGTCGGGCAGCCCGGGCTCTGCCTCCCTGCTAGAGGCTGAGGTCCACCACCACGTGCCGGTAGACCAGCGTGTTGGCCTTGAAGCTGGGAGCCAGGAGAAGCTGCACGTCGGCAGCCGGCACGTAGCGGAAAGCCCGCGGCGCCTGCACCGACAGCTCCTGAAACTTGACGAATTTCTGCTTCTCCTCTTCCCACAGGTAGACGTGGGTGAAGGAAAAGTCACTGCCCAGGGCCAGGTACTGCCGTTGCTCCACCGAGAAGGGCTGCATCACCATGGAGCCGCGGGACGGCAGCGTCTGGAGCTCAACGAAGCGCTGCCCTTCCCATCGCACCACCTTGGAGTCGCCAATGTAGCGGCTGAGGCAGAGGAATTGGTCCCGCTTCACCCTGAAGTACTTCACCATCTGCACGTCCAGCATCTCCCCCACCTCCCCTTGGGGCGTGAATTGCTTCTGCGCCCGGCTCCACTGGTAGATGACGGGGGCTTGGGAGCTGCTGGAGATGATCAGCCGGGGTTTGCCGTCGTTCTCCACGTATTCCACGTCGGTGTCGCGGTGCCAGGCGTGGAGGGCTTGGTGGGAGTAGAAGCCGTTCTGGTTGAGGCGGTAGAGGCTGGTGGAGCCCGCCTTGGAGCTGTCGGCGATGACGAAGTACCAGTCGCCGTCGATCTGGAAGGCCTCGATGTCGTTGGGCTTGCGGGTCTTCTGGCTGTCGATGTCCTGGATCTTGATGAACTTGTCCACGGCGGTGTCCCAGCGGTAGATGTAGGAGCCACCGAAGAGCTGGGCCACCACCACGTACAGCTGGTTCTGCGCCACGATGGGCTTGCAGTGCACCGCGGAGTGAGCTGCCAGGCAGGACCACGTCACGCCGGGGCCTTGCCCTTCCCAAATCACCCCAAACGGGGGTCACAACCCGGGAGGGGACCCCCACCCGGATGCCTTACCGGGGATGCGGTCGAAGTCACGCAGCTTGCGCTCCACGTAGTCCCACTTGAGGATGGCACAGCTGCTGGCACCGGGCTGTGCCAGGGCGATGTACAGGTCGCTGGCGTAGGTGAAGGGCTCAGCCGACACCGACTGGAAGGGCAGGACCTGGTGCACCACAAAGTCTGGGGGCAGGGAAAGTCGCCAGTGAGGGTCTGGGCATTTGGGAGTGGGATGACGGGCGGCCGCGGTCCCTTACCCGTGGTGATGCACTGGAAGTCACCGAGCGCCAGGTCCCGGATCCGCTGACCTTCGAACTGCGCGGGGCTGCTGCAGAAGACGGCGGGGACCGTGGTGTTGGTGCTCTCCAGCCACTCCACCAGCCACTTGATCTTGCAGTCGCAGGCCAGCGTATTGCCCCGGAGGTCCCTGCCGAGGATGGCACCCAGTCACCCCAGCACCCGGCTCGGAACGAGCAGAGCACCCTGCCCGAACCCCAAGCACCAGGATGTCACCCTCTCCCCAGCCCGGTGTCCCAGGGGTCCCCAGTGCCACAGCAGCCTTACAGGTCGCTCAAGATGTCCAGTGGCTTGAAGAGGTCCCGGGGCAGCGTCTGCAGGTTGTTGTTGGCCAAGGACCTGGGAGGACAAGAGGGGTTGTGGAGGTGACACAGCCCTGGCCACAGGGAAGGGGCAAGAGCCATCCCCCGTGTCCCCGGGGAATGTGGGACCCCCTCCCTGGTACTCACAGGTGGGTCAGGGACTTGAGCCCACGGAAAGTGGCCTTCGAGAGTGCCTGGATGTCGTTGTTCTCAATGAACCTGGGGCGGGAGGAGATGGTGGCACGGCTGCCCCAAGGGGATCGGTCCCTGCCGATACCCCCACCCTCCCCGTGCCCTCCCCAGGGTCGTCCCCATGTCCCCCTCCCCGTCCCACGTACAGGTACTGGAGATGCGAGAGGCCGGCGAAGGCATTGTCCCCGATCAACGTGAGCTTGTTGGAGTTCAGCAGGCTGCAAAAGAGAGGGAGGAGGCGTCAGCACCGGGGTCGGGCAGGATGGGCACGGGGGGCACCGGGATGCCCGTCCGCCGGCGCGGGAGACGTACAGGAACTGCAGCGAGGGGATGTGGGCGAAGGCTGCCTCTCGGATCTCCGTGAAGGCCGCGTTCACCATCGTCCTGCCAGTGAGACAAAGCTTCAGTGCTATGCGGGAGAGGGGACAGCAGCTGGGGGGCTCTGCCACCCCCGTACCCCTCAGCACCATCCCTGCTGTCACACGGTGCGTGCCAGTGCAGCCCCCCCCGGCAGCCCCGGGATGCTGGGCAGGGAGCAGCCCATGGGAGAGCGGTCCCAGCAACAATCCTGCCTGCTGGGGGTGACACGGAGGGGACGGGGTGCTGGGACCCACAGCAGGGGCTGGCACCCACCCCACTCGTGCCCACGCCCTGCGGTACCCCCCGGCCCGAGTACGTATGCACACACAGACATACAGCTCCACGCACACACACACGCATTCGCCACGCACACTTGCATTCCTGTCCAAGGCTCCGGTGTCCCCCAGGGACCATGCATCAGGACCCATCAGCCGTGTCCCCTTGGGGCTCTGGTCCCCAAGGTCACAGCAGACGGGGAGCGCGGCGGGGACGGGCTGCAGCCCTGCTCCATCCGTCACTGATGGATGGCTGCCTGGGCAAGGAGACCTGCTGCTGCCGCAGGACACGGGGACCGATCCCCGGGGTGTCCCCACCCCGCTCTTTCCCCCGAGAGACCCCACACCGCCTGTACCCCACACCGCCACGTGTTTGCCCCCGATGCAGCACAAAGAAAGAGGCTGTCCCTGCCACCCCAGGGCAACCAGAAGCCCCTGCCAGCCCTGTACCCCTGAGCTGCTCCCCGTCCCCATCCCTGTACCCCTGAGCTGCTCCCCATCCCCATCCCTGTCCCCTGAGCTGCTCCCCGTCCCCATCCCTGTACCCCTGAGCTGCTCCCCATCCCCATCCCTGTCCCCGGAGCTGCTCCCCATCCCCATCCCTGTCCCCGGAGCTGCTCCCCGTCCCCACCCCTGTCCCCGTCCCCACCCTGCTGCCTGGGTACTCACAGCGAGATGACCTCGGGGGGCAAGTTCCTGGGCACAGCCTTGGAGTCCACACAGAAAGCTGTGTCCCGGGTGCAGGAGCAGCTCGGGGGGCAAGGGGGTGGCCGGGGTGGCCGCCGACCCCCCGCCGGCAGCCAGAGCCAGGCCAAGGCGAGGAGGAGGAGGAGAGCAGAGAGCTGGCCCCTCAGCATCCTCCTCCCGCGCCGCATCTCCATCACGCCCTGGCCTAGCCCTTCTCTCTCCCCCAGGGCTGGTTCCTCTCCTCCTGCTGTGCCCGGGAGCTGTGGCGAAGCCTTTTCTTCTTCTCCTTCCCCAGAGATTTCAGTGTGGAGGGGAAGCGATGGTGGCGGTGGAGGCTGCCGGTACCCGACTCGCTGCTCTGCAGCGCACCATGCTCCTGTGCTGCGGGAAGGAGGGAGGGAGGGAGGGATGCAGCTGAGTGACGGCACGAGCATCCCTGTGGACGCATGTCCTCGCCAGCGTGCAGGCGTGCAAACACGGGGGTGCACGCCAGGGAAGGGGGGGGGGCACTGGGTGCTCTCAGGGTGCAACGAGATATGGGATGGGAGGGTACCCACAGGGATTTGCAGGGGTGATGCGCTCCCACCCCGTTGTTTCGTGCTGCAGTGCTGCCCGCGCCAGCTCCCTGCCTGGCCTGGCAGCAAGTGCTGCCGGGTGGCAGGAGGCACTGGGCACCCGTCCGTCCCGTCCCAGGCACGGTGTTCCCAGCCAACAATGAGCCCAGCCAGTTCCTTCCCCATGCTGGGAGGGGGGGGCCGCAGCTGCCTGTGCATGGGGTTGCAGAAACCAGGGGTGCAGCACCCCCAGGGGATGCATACTAAGGGTGCTGGGTCCTCAGCCAGAGCCCAGGGCTGGGCGTGGATGTCAGGCATGCTCTGCCTGCCCGCTGTTTGCCTTGGCCCCCCCCCGTGCTGCCGGCTAAATGCCGGGAAGGGGCCCTCGGAGGTTTCATACCCCCTCCCCAGCTCTTCTCCAGGCTCAGCAAACAGAACACAAGTGGCACCTTGGCAGCTGGGGTGGCTCCAGCCTCCTCCCATCCACCCAGGACCCTATAAATCCCCCCAGGTCCGGCTGGCAAAGGGACAGGAGCCACACGGTGAAGGAGAGCGAGATGGACGACAGCTCCAAAGAGGCACTGATGGAGGAGGCACCTCCGGTAAGGAGCACCCATCACCCAGCCCGGGGGGGCCGGCGTGGGGCTGAGCACCTTCCCCGGCCCCACGCCAGCAGCTCAGCCGGGTGCTCCCCTGTGTCCCCAGAGGTACACGGCCTCCCCCCGCCTGCCCTGCATCCCCCATCAGCTCAAGTGCCTCCTGATCGTGGTGGTGGTGGTGGTCATCCTCGTGGTGGTCATCGTCGCCTTCCTCCTCCTGGGGCTGCACATTACCGAGACGCACGCCGAAACGGTGAGGCAGCACCGGGGAGGAAGCCACGGTGCCGCCGGCTCCGGTGACGGGTTTGGGAATGTCACCGGTTGCCGGCGCTTTGCAGGGATGGGCTTTCAACCCCGCAAAGCTCCCTGACCCCCCCCGCCTCCACCTGGCAGGTCTTGCGAATGACCATCCATGGCCTGGATGGCGAAGGGACCCCCCAGCACCTCTCCATGAGCAAGAAGGAAAGGACCGGGACATTCGCCGTACGGGACGGGCTCAACGCCTCCGCCATGGTGGTGTACGACTACAGCAAGGTGTGCGGGCAGCCCCGGGGACAGGGCACGCCGGGGGCGGGTGGTGGCAGCAGGGACGGAGCTGAGCTGATTCGGGTCTCTCTGCAAATAGCTGCTGGTCAGCTACAGGTCCTGGCGTCACCGCGCCTGCTACATCACCCGCCTGGACGAGGACAACATCCCAGGGCTGGATGCCGTCACCGAGACCTTCCAGCGCCGGCAGGTGAGCGGTGGCCATCCCGTTCCAATGAGGCTGCTGGGCTTGCGGCAAGCGTCTGCTGGCGGGGAGGCTGCTGGCAGCCCAAAGTGGCAGCCCCCCCATGTTCTCTCACCTGCAGGCTGAGATGAAGGAGGCTGGGGACAACGCCATGCCCCTGGCCGACCGCTCCATCCTGGGCACCACCATTAACATCCTCTGCAGCACCGTCCCTGTATACTGGGTGTAGCACTGGCTGGGGTTGGCTCCCCAGGGGCACAGGACAGCGAGATGGGGATGTCACTGTCCCCACGTTCTCCGTCTTGCCTTCCAGATGGGATGCCCAGGCATCTCTCCTCCTCCCCGGCCCCATCCTGCGCGTGGCCCCCGGGGCAGCCGCCCCACCGTCGGGTTGCTCCATCCACAGCCCCTCGGCACCGTGGCTCTCCCACAGCACTTGCAATAAACAAGTGGGATTTGCTTGGGGATTCACGCTTCTGTCTGCAAAGTAAAACCGGTGCCCTCGCCTCCGCGTGCGGCTCTCGTCGTTCTCCCCATCCCGGCCAAACGGCCCTTCCCGGGGTGCCGGGGAGAGGTGGCACAGTGCCCCGGGGATGTCTCCCGGTGGGATCCAACACGGGTAGATGCATCCTTCGTGTCGGCGTGCTCAGTCCAACCCCAGGCGGGAGCACGGGAGGGCTCAGACACCCCCTCCCTGGGGCAGCGGGACCCCCCCATGTTGCACACCATGCTCCCAGGCTGCGTGGCCAGTGTCCCCGCTTGTGCCCTCCCAGTTTGCACAGAGGGAAGGTGAGATGGCAGGGGTGACCTCTGCACCTCCAGCCCGTGGGCACAGGCAGCACACCCAGCCAGCCCCAGCACCCCTGCGGGGTCTGGGCCACCCCTCCATGAAAGGTCCCTGTCCCTGTCCCCTCCTTGTGCAGACAGAGACAGAGGGACTGTGCCACATCCCCAGTGAAAGCCAAGTCCTGGGCTCAGCAGGGCATCCACAGACACACTGATCCGCTTGCTCCGGCTCTGCTCCATCCCTCGTCCCCAGCAGCTCCAGCTCCTCTGCCCCAAAGCAGCCAGGAGCATCCTTGGGGGGGGCAGCTACAAGTGCTGCACCGGCCAACAGGGGCTTAACAGGGCTGGGAGGGAGAAAAGAGACCCTGGGAGGACCCAAGCCAGCCCCCCCAAGGTTCATGGCAGTGCTGGGCAGCGTGATTTAGCCTCCCAGCAGGCACTAACTCCGGATCGTCCCTGCAGCCACCGCCATGGGCTGTGAGGAGGGTCGCAGGTCCTGGGGGCTGACGCTTTGCTGGGAACAGGAGGGAAACTGTCCATTGCCACATGTCGAAGCAGGTCTGGCAGCTCTGCTCCCTGAAATCCCCGGTCTGGCCCTGACCCTGTGTCACCCCAGAAAAGAGCAAGGCCAAGAAGCGTGCGTGATAAGGGCTCCCACAGCCTCTCCTGCGCACGGTGTTGGAGAGCAAACAGCCAGGAGCCACTTGAGGGTCTCCCGTGCTCCTCGACACCCTGGGACAGGAGGCAGCTTGCAACATGCGGTGCACCCCCTCGCCCCCACAACCTGGCTGCAAGCATCTGGGTTCCCGAGGGACTGAGGAGGGGGCCCAGGGGTGGCCGGAGGGTCCCAGCCTGAGCCCAACCACAGGAGACTCATGTGCAGGCAAGACCAAGGCACAGCGGTGTCACCCTGCCCTGCCAATTGCACCACCCAGGGTGACACACCAGAGCTGGGACCCCCTCACCCAAAGCAAATCCGCACTGCGGGCAGCCCCGAAAGCCCCAGCACCGGCGACACGAGCTCCCGTGCTGCCCGAGCATCCTCGGGACCGAGGTTACGGAGCACCCAGCCTGGCCACGGTCCGGGAACATGTCCCCACTCTGTGGTGACCCCACTTGCGATTTGTGGGAAAGCTTTGATGTCCCGTTTGCACTTTGCCCACCTCAAGCAGCTCCAGGTGCCCGAGCTGGCGAAGGGTCATGGGCACCGAGCTGGGTCTCCCCTTGACCGCGGCCATCGCCGGATGCTCCACCCTGGAGAGCAGCTCTAACCCACGCAGGAGGGTTTGTTTTGGCCCCAACACCTCGCTCCAAGGGCAGCAGAGAGACCCCTCGTGCTCGGGGACAAGTGCCCTCAGAGCCTCTTGATCAGCGGGTTCCCAGGGGAACCCAGCCCCAGGGAAGGCGGTCAGCAAACACAAGTGAAGTGGGTGGCATGCCAAAGCCCGATTGCACACCAGGGCCATGAGCCCATTCATGGGGGGCCACTCCGTTCCCCACGCCTGTGCCCTGGTATAAAACCCTCTGCGCCGGCTGCTGCGGGGCAGCCTGGGCTGGGAGGAGGAGGAGGAGGAGGAGGAGGAGGAGGCAGCAGCCATGGAGAGCAGCATGAAGCAAGTGGTGGTTGAAGAGCCACTGGTGAGTCTCTGCAACCAGCAGCAGGGTGGCACGGTCATGCTGGGAGCATCCCTGTGCCCAGCAGAGATGTTCGGCACAGGGCTTTGCCCGGTTTATCCCAGTGAGGCACCGGTGCACGTTGGATGGAGGAAGAGCCTGCGGGATGCTGCATCCCCAGAGCCCAGAGGCAGCGGGATGGGAGCTGCTCCCTGCGGCAAACCCATCCCCAGCCCACCCGCATCCCCCAGCTCTCATCTCCTTCCCCCTCATCCCAGCTTTCCGCCTTTCCCATGCCTATAGGACCCGGAGAAGTGTTGCTCCCAGGGATGCTGCAAGCCGGGCTGCTGCTGCTGGCCCTGCGCCGTATGCTGCTCCAAATGCGCCCGATGCTGCATGCCCCGGTGCTGCAAATGCCCCAAATGTCCCGGCTGCCCTGGCTGCGCCTGCATCAAGCGGTCCCTCTGCTTCGTACCTCGCCTGCTCTGCTACCTGCCCCGCAAGCTCCTCAGCTGCCACCACCTCAAGTGCCTCCTCATCGTGGTGGTGGTGGTGGTCCTGCTGGTGGTCATCATCGCCGGTGCCCTGCTGATGTGGCTGCACGTGGACCAGCAGCACGCTGACGCCGTAAGTAGGGACCCCCATCACCCCCGGGAAGGAGCTGGCGCAGGAGGTGAGCTCCCCTCATTCCCCCCCCTCCAGGTCCTGCGGATGGGGCTGTGGAGAGAACCGGCCTGGGAAGAGGATGCGGCCACTTTCTACCTGGATGGTGGAGATGGAAACTGGGCCATGGTCATTTATGATTACAAGAATGTAAGCGGGGAGCCCTGCGCGGCCGGGGGGACGGGGAAGGGGTGATGGGACCGAGCTGATGTGGGTCTGTTTGCAAACAGCTGCTGGTGACCTACAGATCCCGGCTCGACCATGCCTGCTATGTCACCCGCGTGGACAAGGACAACATCCTGGGGCTGGACACCGTCGCCGAGACCTTCCAGCGCCGGCAGGTGAGCGCCGGCCACCCCGCTCAGCACCGGCTGGGGCAGGATGGGGCATGGGGGGCACATGGCAATGCCCCGGGCACCGTGCCTCATGCAACCCCCCCGATGAAGAATTGGGGTGCAGCATCACGCTGCTCCTGCCTCATTTTTTCTTCTCTCCCCTTGCCAGGCTGAGAAAAGGCTCGCCATGCCCCTGGCTGATCGCTTCCTCCTGGGTACCACAGCCAGCATCCTCTGCAGCATCGTCCCTGTCTACTGGGCTTAGCCTTGCCAGGTGAGTGCAAAGGGTCCCGCTGCCCGCAGGAGTGGGCAGGGGGGCTGGCAGGGAGGGCTGGGGGACCCCCACCCACCCAGCTGCACCCTCACGGTGCCAGGTTTGCCTTGCAGCATCCCCAACGGACACGGCGTTGCCGCAGCCCCTCTGTCCCTCCAGGAGCATCGCTGACACCTCTGCAGCTGCCCCCGCCGGCAACCCCTCACCCACCCCAATTTTGGGAGGTGCCGGGGCCCACGCGATGCCACGGGGCTGAGCAGGAGGTTGTGGGGTCAGGGGGTTGGCGTTGAAGGGACGCGGGGGGCTCCGCTTCGCCGTGCAGCACCGCATCCCTGCTGCAACTGCGGTGCTGGGGGGGGGGCGGAGGCGGTGGGTGGGTGGCTGCTTGGGCGAGCGCCGCGCTGTGCCGGGGGACAGCTGGTTTGTCACTTAAGTCTTCCCAGCTTCGCCAAACCCAAGTGCAAAAATGAGCTTAAAAAAACATGACATTTAAAGAAACAAAATTCTCCGTTCCAGTTCTTCGCTCCCTGCTCACCCGGCTACCGGCAGCTCCCGGCTTCCTTTGCCTTAAAAATGCATTTAGGGGCTCTGAGCAGAATTTAGGTGAATTTCTGATGTGGCCACAGCCTGGGGACTCACGGGGGGGCACCCCCCGAGCATCGCTTGGCACCGAGGCACGGGACTGACCTGAGCTGCCTGCTCCTCCTGCCAGCCCTGCCAGAGGCAAGGCTGTCCTGAAAAATGTATCTGTCCTCTCCCGCTCTGCAGAACTGAATAAAGGATAAGGGGAAGAATCAGGACTTGGAGCTATTCCTGGCAACAGCCCATGTCGAAGGCGGCCACGGCCACCAGACTGCCTGAGGACTGGGATTATTAGGACCGGGATGCTGGTGTTATTAGGATCAGGCGTTATTAGGATTGGGATGCTGGTGTTATTAGGATTGGGATGCTGGTGTTATTAGGATCAGGCATTATTAGGACCGGGATGCTGGCCCCAGGACCAAGCATTCAGTGCAGAGTGGGGGGAGCGTGGAGCAGCGCAGCCGCAGCCCCCCCCGGGGACGGGAGCCCGCCAGCAGCGCAGCTGCCTCCCACCGGCACTGCGGCCATCCCGGGGTGGGGGCCACGAGCACCCCACCACCCCCACGCCTGGATCTGGCCCCCGCTCCCCACTCTTGGCAGCCAGGGAAGCTTCTCCCCGCAGGGAGAGCGCAGCTGCGGCTGGCCGGGATGCGGGGCTCCCGTCCAGGGCCTCCTGTGGCTCTGGGGCACCCCCCCCGCTCCCCAAAACCCTTGCCCACCCCCAGCTCAGCTGCACCAGCGAGCACAAACCGTGGTGTGGTTTTTATTTGAAAGGCTCCCGGGCTGACGGGCCAGCCCTGGGCACCAGCATTCACCCGGAGCAGCAGATGGCAAAGGGTGTGCGGAGTTTTGCAAGGGCTCAGCACCCCCGCCACCGGCTCAGCCTCCCCCCCGCCCCCCCAGTGATGGAGCAGCTGAAGATGAGCTGTCAGAAACTTGGCAGGACCTCGAGGTCCTTGTGCAATAATTCAAGTGTCCTCGTTTCTCGAGCCTGCGCAGGCAGGGGCAGGCGAGGTTTGCAGAGGACGAGTGCTGCGCCTCCGGGTGCTGCATCCCGGAGGGGGGGGGGACGGACACCGGAGGCACCCCAAACCCCGATAAGGGGGGTGTCAGCCCTAGTAGCCAGGCGCAGAGGTGCAGGCAGAGGCGTTGATGGGGTGGGGGGCCGGGGGGTTCACCCTGCCCGGGGACAGGCAGGCAGCTTCGCACTGCTGCCGGCTCTCGAAGCGATTGCGGCTGCCGCCGCAGCCCCCGTACCAGAAGAGCGAGCAGCGGCCGGGTTGGTGACCCTCGAAGAACCACTTGGGCGAGAAGGAGTGGCAGGGTCCCGGGTCCCTCGCCTCCAGGCAGGCAGCTGCAAGGCGAGCGGCACAGCACCCTTACGGCAGGGCCAGAGCACGCAGCGCGGTTGCGTGCCGGGAAATGCACCCCACGAGCCAGCCGGTGCATGAGCCGGCAGCCCTGCCTGCTTCCCTGCCTGCTTTCTGCTCACGAGTCACCCACCACAAGGACACCCCCTTTAACCCCCCCGCCTCGCACGCTCCTCACCCTGCGTCATGTTGCTCTCGCCCACGCCGGCTTCGTCAAGACCTGCCCGGGACGGTCACGGCATCAGCCGAGCGGCGGCACCGAAAACTCAACCGTGCCCCCTGCTCCGGCTGGGGGCACCCCCATGGTCGCCCCCCCCACCCCGGTCCCCTGCCCACCCTCGCCTACCCTGGTCCACGCAGGCGCGGATGCAGTCCTGCTCGCTGCCGAAGCGGTTGGCGTTGCCCCCGCAGCCCCCGTACCAGAAGCGCTCACAGGACCCCGTCTCCCACCGGTGGTACCACATCACGGAGAATTGGGTGCAGGCACTGCCGGGGTCCTTGTCCAGGGTGCACGGTCCGGGAACGGCCGCAGCCCTCCGGCCCTTACCGGGGCCGGTGGGTGCTGTGGGCATCCCAGTGGGGACCCTGGGGGTCCTGGGAAGGGAAATCAGAGCAAATCCCCCAAGTATGTGCTGGGGGATGGAGGATCCCCTCTCTAGGAAGAGGAGGTGCAAACCCCCCCCAGCCCCCCAACTCGTATCACGGGGCACCGAGGGATGCACAAGCAGGGGATGGTCCCGGTGCCGCTCACTCACTGCGCAGGGGTCCCTGGGGGGGGCTTGCCGGTCCTGGTGCTGGCGAGGGGCACCTCCTGGGGGCACCCCGGGGTGCTGGGGCGCTGGCTGCTCTCCGCTGTGGAGCAGAAGCGATAGCAGAGGCGTGACAGAGATGCAGGCAAGGAGGTTTTGGGGGGGATTGAAGCCGCCTACTCCCGGAGCAGCCGGGAACGGGACCCAGAGATGCTCCAGCCCCCCAAGACCTCCCCACTCCGCTCACCCCGCAGCCTCCTGAGAAAGCCCAGCGCCGTCCTCTCCGCGTATCCCATCTCGGGTGGGTGAACCGAGCCCAGGCGCAGGGAATGGTACCGCCATGCCGGCAGTGCCTCCGGCATGGCCGCCTCCGGCTGCTCTGTCCCGGCTCGCCCCAGGGAGAGCACCAAGATGCCAAAATCCTCACACTGGGCAAAGGGGGCCAGCGCCTGCCGTGCCTCCCCGTCCCACAACAATGCGGCCCCCGTCCCCACCACGAAGAGGATGCGGAGCCGGTCGCCGGAGCTCTGTGGGAAGACGTGCCGGAGGGTCCACGCCACCGCGCCGCTGGCGGATGCTGCAGCCGGCCTGGGCACCAAGGCGAGGTGGAGACGCTCCCGGAGCTGCTCCCCGGAGCTGGGCAGCCCAAAGGGGACCTCGGCCAAACCCTGCCCGGGAGTGGAGGGTCCCGTCAGCACCAGGGCGATGCGGGTGCCACGCTGCACCAGATCCGGCCCCGTGAGCTGCAGGTGCCCCAGGAGATGGTGGAAGAGCTCGCCAACAGCCTCCAGCCTCTCCGCCAGCATCCCTGGGGCTGCGTTGTCCACCACCAAGGCCAAGTCCACGTCCGGCAGGTCAGGGGATGGCACGGCTGCGGTGCAGCTCTCGGGGTGGCAGAGATCTGCGATGGGAAGAGATGGAGGCTGAGCCCCAGAGCCGGCCAGCACCCATCCCCGGTGCAGCCCTGGGGCTGCCTACCGAAGCAGAGGATGCAGGGCAGCACTGCATCCCGCAGCACCGCCGCATCGCCAGCCGGCTCCGCCGCCGAGAGCTGGACCACTCGGAAGAGGCTGTTAACCTGGGGGTGAGGCAGAGCCGGGGTGAGGGGTGAGGGCTGGGGGGACGACAAGGGACCGGGGGGAGCAGCCACCAGCCCCAAGGCTCACCTGGAAAGCCCGCACCACCTCGGGCAGCGGGCTGAAGGTGAGCACTGCCGGCACGATGCCCAGGGCTTCGTACTGCAGAGCAACGTCCCCGATGCCCTCCAGGTTCTGGTTTCGGCCGCTGGTGACGAAGAGGACAACTTTCCTGCCCAGGGTGGCCGGCCGGACCCTTTTGAGCACGTGGTGCCCCACGAAACGCATGGCGGTGGCCAGGCGGCCGCGGCGGGAGGAACGGGTGGGCGAGAGGCGGCGGAGGCGGTCCAGCAGCGCGGTCCTGCTCCCCATCTCCCCGGCACGCAGCAGGTAGGTAGGGGTGGCCGCGTAGGCCAGCACGGCCACCCTGGCCCCCGCTGGGCAGCCCAAGGGGGAGATCTGCAGGTCCCGCAGCAGCAGGGCCAGCAGCTCCTTCATGCGGGAGAAGAGGGCTGGCGATACGGTGGATGAGGTTTCCAGCACCAGAACCAGCTCGGTGGGGAAAAGCGGGCAGGACGGCGAGGTGGTGACTGCAAGGGGATGGTGGCATCTCAGGGGCTGCTGGAATAGCCCCCCCCGGGACACCTTGTGCTTGTGGGACCCGTGCCCACCCGTCCACTGCTGCCTTCATCCAGGCACACATCCATTGGCTGTGCCCCCATCACCCAGCCGTCCCTCTGTCCCCTCTGCCCTGGTCCCCCCACCGAGCCGGTCCCCATCCCCTCCTTGCCATCCCTGCCGCTATCCCAGGCTCTCACCGCAGCTCCGGCGGATGAAAGCCTTGAGCTCGCAAGGCTGGAGGGATGCACAAAGCGGCGTCAGTCCCGGCTCTCCCACCCAGCTCTTCCCAGCAAACCCAGCAAGGCTTGCTGGGGCCAGGCGGCCACCGAGCTCCTCTCTGTCCCCCGAGGACACCCCTCGAGGCCGGGTCCCCATCCCCAGCCGGCCCTATGTCAGCATCCCGTACCGTGGAGGGGGGAGTGCCTGGCGAGCCCTTTGGGCCCTGGAGCAGCGGGAGAGGAGAGAAACAAAGAGGAAATATGAACAGGGAACACATCCCCGAGCACCGGGGCTTCCCTGCTCTTTGCACAACACGGGATGGTTGCAGAAATGTGGTAGGAAAAAGGGAATTTGCAGGGAGTCACCATCTCTCCCGGAGGTCCCGCACTGCCGCGGCCGCCTGCTTCTCCTCTGCTCCCAGGATTGCCCTGGAAAACCCCAAGGAGTTGAGCGGGTGGGCACGGCAGGGGGGCAACGGGGAGGGGGCTGCACCATACTCACCCTGCGCCCGGGCAGCCCTCGTGCACCCTTGTCCCCTGGGGATCCTCTCTCACCCCCATCACCCTGGGGGGGGACACTCGGAGGAAGCTGACCATGTCCTTACCAGCAGCCCACAGCGTGGACTGGCCGGCCCTGGTCAGGTCCCCATGTCCCCTTCTGGCCCCCCACGCACTCACCTGAGCCCCGGGGTATCCTGGCAGGCCCCGAGCACCCTGGGGGAAGCATCACACATGAGGGGGTTCGGGACCCCCGGCAGCCCCACGGGCAGGGACGGAGCTCTGCCCCACGCTCATCCCACCCGCCTCCATCCCTGCTCCACACTGCCGGTACCTTGTCACCCTTCCTCCCTGGAGCACCCCTCCGGTCACACCCGTTCTCACCCTGGGAGGGGAGAAAAATCCCAAAGCAGATTATTGTAGGACCTACACAAACACCCCTCTTCCCAAAGCTTCTTTGGCCACAGCTTTTCCATGCCTTCCACTGCTGCAGTGCCCCTGGGGAGGATGCCATGGCCCTGAGGGACACAGCCTTACCAGGGTGCCTTTGGGTCCCCGCGGTCCCACGCTCCCCTTCTTGCCCTTGTCTCCTGCCTGCCCCTGGAAGAGAAAGCAGGGCTGCAGGCTGGGGGTGCACAGGGGACGCGGTGAAATGCCGTGCTGTGGTATCCCTCACTTTGTCCCCTTTGGGACCAGCTGGTCCGACTGCTCCCTGGGAGCCCTCAGCTCCGGGCAGACCCTAGGTGAAAGGCAAAGGCGGATCGAGGATGCTGGGGAGCACCTGTGGGTTGGGCACCCACTGGCACGGCCACCAGCTTGGGGTGGCCACCAGCACCCACCAAGGACCCCAGCACTGGGAGGGGGATGGCACCTGAAGTCCTCTGCGCCCTGGGTGACCGGTGACACCGTTCGTCCCCCGCAGCCCTGGCAGCCCCTGCAAAGGGAGAATGGAGGGGGCAGCAGCGGTGCCCACCCGGGGGTCCCGGTGCCAGCGGGGTCTGCCCTGGCCTTACCTGGGCACCTCCGTAGCCCTTCTGTCCCTCGGGGCCAGGGCTGCCACGGTTCCCCTTCTTGCCCTGCAGGGAGACAGGATGGCTCAGGCTCCAGTGGGGAGATGTCCCCGGACCCCCGCATCCCTGGGCTCTGCCAGCCCTACCTGCACTCCCTGCTGCCCTTTCTGGCAGGAGGTCTGTGGAGGAAAATGCCATCAGCCACCGTGTCCCCATGACAGGGGCACGTGGCACCGGGGCACCCGGCGTGGACCTCGGTGCCCCCCTGCCCGCAGCACCTACCGGGTGAGCAGGGGGACCCGGGGGCCCCGGTGGCCCCGGGGGACCCTCCTGGCCAGGGTCTCCCTGGAAATCATGGGCGTTGAGAGGGAAGCAGAGCTCCTGGCCGTCCTATCTGCACATCTCATCCCCAAAAGGGTCCTGCCGACTGCCTGCTCCACTGCTGCCACCCGGCATCCCTGAGCATGGTCCTGGCCCCTGCCAGACCTTACCTGGGGACCCCCATCTCCTCTCCACCCTGGGGTGCCAGGCTCGGGGCTTGTCCTCCCAGGTGGCCCCTGGGGAGCAGAGGTGGGTGCTGAGCGAGCCTCCCAGCACCCCATGGAGCCGCGGGGCTGTGAGCCCATTACTTACCACCTCGCCACAAGGGCCTGGGGGACCCTTCTCCCCCCGGGCACCCCGGGAACCTTTCTGCCCCTAAGTGAAGGCAGGAGGAAGGGATTTAGCAACCAAGCGGTGGGCGAAGGAGGCAGTGCTTCGCTGAGGCTCAGCTGTGCAGTGCCGTACCTGCCTCCCCCGGGACCCCTTCTGTCCGGGGCGGCCAGGGGTCCCTGCTTCACCCTGGGGAGTAGAGAGGAGGCTGTGGCTGTGCCTGATCCCACTTGGGTGTCTGTGCCGGGATGGAGGGGTGGTTGCACCGGCTGGCTGGTGCAATGTGCCACTGCACAGCTCACCTGCTCCCCGTCCACACCGTCATAGCCGGCTTCTCCAGGAGGTCCCTGCAAGGAGGTGACACGGTCTGGTGCCAGGTTATATGTCATGGGGTGCAATAGCCAGGTTCTGGCTTTGCCCCATTTCCTGCAGCACCCCAGGCCATCCCACCCCTCCATCATGACCATCTCCCATTCCCCTCCCCGCATCCCTCTCTTCCCTGCCCGTCCTCGAGGTCTCCCTGCCGCTGCCAGCTGTCCATGGCCTTGGCCACCATCGGTGCCCGCAGGAGCCACAGGATAAACCACGAGGCAGGGACGTACCTGCTCCCCGGGGTGACCCATGAAGCCCTGCAAAGAGACAAAGAAGAGCAGCCGGGGAGCGGTGGGCACCCTCGCTGCAGGACAGAGCCACGCAGGGCTGGGACAGCCCCTCACCTTCGGTCCATACTGCCCTGGGCATCCCTGCATCCCTCGGCTGCCGTGGAGACCTCGGGGTCCCTGCTCCCCCTGCACTCGGGAGGAGGTGGGGGGCCATCAGAGGCAATGCGGTGACGGGGGTCCCCTTACCCACGGGGCCACCCTCTCCTACCCCTGGGGGTCCCTCGGCCAACTCACGCTGTGTCCATGCTCGCCCTCGTCTCCAGCACGCCCCTTGCTGCCTGTCATCCCCTAGAACAGAGAGACCCTGCAAGCGGCAGCCATGACCCCCCGGCCCGAGGATGGACCCTGGGCTGGGAGCCAGCTTGGCTGGGCTCCCTTCCCAGCTCGGGGAGGAAGGGCTTGAGCTGAGCCGAGCTCCCAGGGCTCCTCTTGGCCCTGGGAAAGGGATCCGGGGCTGTGCATGCAGCACAGGGGTGCAATTCTCCTGGGGAAGTGTGGGGAGACCCCCTCATCCCCTGGGCCTCAGTTTGCCCCTGCTTCGCTCAGTGCTTTGGCACCGTGGCAGCAGCTTCAAGGTGGGCACGGCCCAGAGCCCACCCATCTGTCCCAGCAGAGAGGGATGGGAATGGTGGGACTGCTCTCCTACGGGCATGGTGGGGGGCCTGGGGAAATATCCCCTCTGATGGGGAAGGGAAAGGTCTAAGCCCTGCTCCGTGCTGTCTGCGGCACTGGGCATCCCTCCCCCATCCCCCCGCTCCCCCGGCCCCTTACCTTCTCCCCATGGGAGCCACCAGGGCCTTGTGGACCGGGCAGCCCCACGCAGGTGCAGGGACACATCTGGCAGCACGTCCGTTCTGCCAGGGCCAGCTGTGGGGAGAGGGTGGCAACCCCGCTCAGAGCCCACGGGACCCCCACCACCCTCCCCACCACAACCCATCCTCACCAGCTCCTGCGCCACGTGCCCGCCGACCTCCGGCATGTCCACGGTGAGGTGCTGCCCACTCGCCAGCCATCTCCCAAATTCCATCTGCTGCAGGTCCCCCAGCCCCGTGACGTTGTTCACCGCCACCGTCACCAGCAGGTCAGCCTGGTCTGGAGGGGACGGGGTGTCGTGGGGTGTCACATTGCGCAAGGGTGGCCCCCCCCGGTCCCCGCCAGCTTTCCCCACTCACAGGGCTCACCCATTCGAGCCCCACGCAGCCGTCGCCGTCCCACCTTGCAGCCAAGCCGACGTTGCCGCCTCCTTCATCTTCCCCGCATCATCGTCCAGCCCATCCGTGAACACCAGCAGCACCTGGGCAAGGAGTGTGGGGGGGGTCCGGTGCTCTACAGCAGCCCCCAAGAGTGGGAGCGCATGGGGAGCCATGGGCACGCCTGTGCCGGTGCTATACCTTGGCATCAGCCGCCTGCCGTGCCAGGGTGCCGAGGAAGCTCTGCAGGGCGAGCTGGTTGAGGTAGGAGCGCTGGAAAGCGTGCGCCCGTGCCAGGCGTTGCAGCACGTCCATCCAGGGCTCCCGCAGCCGCTCCTGGAAAAGGGTTTCCCCTTCCCGCTGCGTGCTCTGCAGGCTGAGGCTCAGGTTGAGCGGGCTGCAGGTGAGGTGGTCCAGCGCGGTCAGGTCCCGCAGGACCCGCTCCAGGTAGGGCTGCAGGTTGGATTGCTGGTAGTCGGTGACATCCAGGGCCACCAGCACGTGGAGGGTGCATGGTCCTGCGGGGCAGAGCACGGAGACCCAACCGGGCTACGTGGGATCCCGGCTGAGCGGGCTGGAGCGCGGCATCTCCCACGGGGACATGCGCGCCCCACGGTGGGACATCTCCCCGGACACAGGGATGTCCTCACTCACCCGCCTGCCGGCTCCGGACCCCTGCGGCTGCGAGGACGAGAAGAGCCGCAGGGAAGCAGACCCCGCACAGCCCCATTTCCCCGGCGTGGCACAGCTCGGTGGGACACCGCGGTCACCGGCGGGGAATCAGCTCCTCCCGTGCCCGGCAGCTGCGAGGCGTGAAGGCAGGGCTGCGGCCAAGCGGCAACCGGCAGCGACGAGAGCAGAGCACCTGCCTTAGGGAGACGGCGGGCCCAGAGCTGTCTCCAGCTCTCCATCCATCACTGCTTGACAGGTCATCCATGGAGCACAGCCCAGCCCCGGGGCCACTGTGGCCGTCCGAGCCGAGCCAGCTCTGGCCTCATCCTGCCCACCTGCTTGGCTGCTTGCAGACAGCGCTGGGTGTGTTTTGCTGGGGTGTTTTGCACCCCCGGGGCTGCAAGCGCTCACTCCTGATGAGCTGCGGGGTAGCTGGGGAGGACGTGGGGGCAACACAGGGCAGGACACGGGGGTCCCGAGCTCCTTGACGGAGCTGAACCGCTCCTGGCAGGGTTTTGGGTTTTGCCCCCAGCGCTGTGAGGACGCCCGCGCAGCCTCCTGCCCTCCCAGCTCAGCCTTCAGGGCTGCACTTCGGGCAGCTCGCAGTGGAGATGCAGCTTTCCCAAGGGTTTTGGGGATGCCCTTGGGAGCTGGCGCGGCAGCCATCCCCCTGTCGCTCCGCAGGCAGGGAGCGGAGGGACGGAGAGATGCGCTGAGGTCAGCACCAGGAGCCCTGCCTGCCCGTCCTGCCACACCGGGTGACCCGCCTGCTTTGCCGATGAGCGGGACGCAACCCACCCCACGGCCTGACCGCGTGGCCAGAGCAAGAGGGGAGAAGGCGGCCGGAGCCCAGACCTTCGGGAACGAGCAAAGCGAGAGACCAAAGACTGCGGTAGGAGCCGAACTTGCGGCATCGCCACAACCCCACAGTGACTGCTTGGGAACAGAGAAACCCCCTTACCTCTCCTGCGCCTTCGCCGGTGCCGGGGATCCACGGCACGCAGAGTCGGGCAGTGCCGGACGGTGCAGCTGACCGCGGGCTGCAGGAGCTGGCCGCCTGCGTGGGAGGATGTGCGTTTGGGGGGTTATTTATTCCAGGGCTCGAGAAAACATCATATGTCCGACACGTCAGGGGGAGCTGCCTTGCAGCCAGGGAAGAGGCTCCTGGGCTCCATGGGGCTGGCCCTGCCAGAGCAGGCAGCTGCCCACCGTGGAGCACGGACCACGGCACCCCACGACCACCCATCGCCTCCTGGGAAGGTGCAAGAAGAAGCTTATGGGGCAGACCATCGAGGGTCAAGGGAGATTGTGGTGCTTGGAAAACTACGTCTGCAAGGGAGTTGGGTCCCAGGGAGTGAACGCCAGCGTGGGAAACCCAGACTGGTCCAGGGAGGGATGTGGGGAAAAACCTCCACCGAGAGCCCCGGGTCCCCGGAGCGCTCCGTGAGAAAGGGGCGATATCAGGGTGGAAACCAGCGGCCAGATCCTGACATAATGGATTTACATCATCCGGGGACTCAGCCCTCAAACATCCTTCCCAGCATAAGCAAAACAGAGGGATGGAAACGGAAAGTATTTCAAAGCCCGGCTTGTTTTTCACGGGGGATCTGTTTGTTTTCTCGGGAGACCAGCTAGAGGTTGGAGATGAATTAGGCAGTCGCTCCCCGCGTTCCCATCCCCAGGCTGCACCGTGCAATGTGTGGGCTGGGGATGGTGTGGGGAAGCAGAGCGAGACCAGTTTTCAGGGGTTTATTTATTCATTGAAGGGGAAAGGTTTACTGCATGTAGGTTTTGCAATGCCGGACTAATGAGCAAAAACACATCCCGAGATGATCTGCTGTTGGGGGAGGAAAATAAGAGATATCCTTGTCCCGAGATAAGGCGTGAAGGAGATTTCCCCACGATCTGCTGTGCCTGGTGGGAACAAGTCAGGCCCTGAATGCGGGAGGTCCCTGAAAGCAAAGGGAAAGAGGATTTGGGGGTGGGGGGTTAGTAGGCAGGGGAGGGAGTGGAGCCTGGATGCCTGTGTGCATCCAGCGTGTCCCCGAGGCAGTAATTGTATGCAGTAACACTGAACACTTGAAAACTTAAAAAATAACATTAATGTGAGTTATGAGAATATTGTAAGTAAGACGATAGGACTCTGTTTGTCTGGGAGCAGCACGAGCAGGCTACGCTGCATGGGACGATGAGCCAGGAGCCGGAGGGGCCCCCGCTCAGCCCCTCGTCCCCACTCAGCCCCTCGTCCCCACTGCAGCACGTCCCAGGTTGGGACGTGCAGGAGGGACAGTGCAAGGGGACAGGGGACATGCAAGGGGACGGCCCCCCCTGCACGGGCAAAGCAAGGCTGAACTCAGAGCTCTATCTAGTGGTGAGTGGGTGGCTGGACCCCATTTCCCTCCCCAGGCTGGGGGTACCCTCACCCCTGTCTTGGGGGGGACGCAGCCACCCTGACCCCCTGCACCAGCTCCCCAGGGTGGGCGGCTGGGAGCTGGCAGAGGGCAGCGAGCGAGGCGGCACCTCTGGGAGCACCGTGGGCTCATCCTGCCCCGTGTCCATCACCTCCCCGGCGTGGCCCCCACCTGCCCCTGGGTGCCCGGGCATGGCCCACTGGTGGAGCTGAGTGGCCCGTGGGGACCTCGCCGTGACGGGCTTTGCTGAAGTGGCAAAGCTTTGACGGCAGGTGTCACTCACAGACCTCGGCGCGCACACGCGTGCACACGTGTGCACACACGCTTGCACACGCGGCCACACGGCCCAGCCAGGGTTGCCAGCCGCCTCTCCCATGCCTTGCTGTCTGGGCACCCTCTGGTCAGCCTGGGGTGCTCAACCCGCTCTTGGGGTGCTCGCCCTGCCCTCCCTGGGGTGCTCACCCAGCTCCCGGGGTGCTCGCCCACCCTCCCCAGGGTGCTCGCCCAGCTCCTGGCAGGCCTGTGACCAGTGCACCAGTGCAGGTTGGGTGTCTCTGGGTGCAGGGCTGCCTTTGGTGTCGGGGGGGGGAAGGCAGATGGAGCACCGGCCCCACGCTCCCATGGCATCCCAGGGTGGGGGGCTCCAGGCTGAGCCCCCCCCCAGGAGGAGGCAGGGTCCATGATGCTGCCCTGGGGGTTTGTGGGGTGCAGGCAGCTTCTCAGCGCCTGCTCCAGGGCCCAGAGCTCACCTATGTTTGGGAAGAGTGCATGGGCTAGGGATGCTGCCTCCTCCTCCTCTGCTCCAGTAAGGCTTGGGAGGATGTGGGATGCGGGGTGACCAGGGCTGTGGGACTGGGGGGGTCCAGGACCAGGAGATATGGGGTGCAGGGCTGGAGAATGTGGGGAGTGCAGGAGCAGGGCTGAGGGATGTGGGGTGCAAGACCAGGACATGGGGGTGTGGGAAGGGGTGCAGGACTGGGGGGGCTGCAGGCTGGGGATGTGGGGTGCAGGACCAAGGCCATGGGGTGTAGACTGGGGTGCAGGAGCAGAGGTTGCGGGGTGCAGGAC